TTAGTTATGCATGACAGTAGATTCCATTTTGACATAATTATACAAGCATAGAATATGTCTTATGGCCTAGGTCTTCCTTTCCAAGTATTCTTATCATTAAAAAAGATTTGTGTAGTTTCTGTTTAATGTTTACAGGTAAGGAGGATAGGAATGGTCAGAGGTTAGACTGGTGGGAATGTGAACTGCAGGAACATGCAACTCCTTCTCCATTAGCAAGAGTGCTGTGTCTGCTTTTTTGTCCACAAATGCTGACTGTGCCTCATTGCCTCATGTGCTACTGTATTGAATTAAGTAATAGGTGGTACCTGCCTATTTGTACTCATTTTTCCATTGGGTGCCATAGACTATATCTGAAAGGAGAAGTCAACTAAAGGGAAATACTTGATGTTTTGTTGGGAAACCTAAGCAGTGGGGCAAGTTGCTTCCCTTTGATAATGGTGATGGATGTATGGTGATAGATGAATTTTTTTCTCATTGATTCTTTATTAACTTGAAATTATTTAATGACTCCTATGTTGTTGGAATAGTCATATTTTATAAATCTACTTCAGTTACATTTAGAAAAGTGAAAGATTCATTGATGACATTTGAGATTTACTTTATTGTTATTTTTTTAAAACACAGATTTTAGGAATTGGCACATTACCTAGTCTCACTAATCCTAACTTCTGGAAGAGCTATAGACTTTAAATAATATCAAAGTGTGGAATGAAGACACTTTTATTACATAGTAACTGCCCATAGTATTGCAGAGTCATACCAAATAGGACTCAATCATCAAATATATACATATGCTAGTGATTAATTTTTCACTATTATTTATGTTCTAGGATCTATGTTCAATATTATTTGTCAGTAGCATTATTTGAGATATGGAATAAGTAATGAAATTGCTCTGAATGGTAGTAGTATATTTTGTAATGTAAGCAATTTTTCAACTTACTATTTCACTGATTACTGACATACTAATATGTAGTTGTATTCTATGTATTCCATGGTCTATTGTCATTATTCACTGACATGCTGTTAATAGGAGGACTGAAAACACATTTGAAATGTTTATTAGTTGTAATTGTGTCAGTAATCAGTAACAAAATAAGGAACACATAAAATTGATCCCACATCCTTACCAACATTTATTGTTATTTGTATTCTTGATAATTGCCATTCTGATTGGAGTGAGATGAAATCTCAGTGTAGTTTTAATTTGCATTTCCCTGATTGCTAAAAGTGTTGATAATTTTTTTTCATATATTTGTCGACTATTTGTTTCTCTTCTTTTGAGAAGTGTCTATTTAGTTCTTTTGGCGATTTACTGATTGGTTTATTTGATTTTTTTGGTGTTAAGTTTTTTGAGTTCTTTGTATATTCTGGATATTAATGCCCTATCAGAGGAGCAGGTGGCTAACATTTTCTGCCATTCTGTAGGTTCTCTCTTCACATTTTTAATTTTTCCTTCACTGTGAAGCTTTCTAATTTGGTGCCATCCCATTTATTGATTTTTAATTTTAGGTATACTCATACAGTATTGGTGGAACTACAAACTGGTTCAACCACTCTGGGAAGCAGTATGGAGACTCTTCAAAAAACTATGAATGGAACTACCATATATATGACCCAACTATCCCACTCCTTGGTATATATCCCAAATATTTTAAATTGGTATACTACAATAATACAGTCTTATCAATGTTTACAGTAGCACGATTCACAATAGCCAAGATAAGGAACAAACCTAGATGCCCTTGAGTAGATGATTGGATAAAGAAAATGTGGTATATGAACACAATGGAATATTATTCAACCATAAAGAAAAATGACATTATGGTATTTACTGGTAAATGGATGGAATTGGAGATTATCAAGCTAAGTGAAACAAGCCTGTACCCAAAAGTCAAAGGTCAAATGTTTTCTCTGATAGGTGGAAGCTAATCCAAAATAAGGGGGGATATAAAAATAGAAGAAATATCAATGGAGTAGATGAAGGGGATTGAATGGGATGAGATAAGGAAAGACATATATATATATATATATGTATGTATATATATATATATGCTACAGTGAATCTCCCCATCAAATACATCCACAATACACTATATATGTGTATGTATATGTATATATATATATATATATATATATATATATATATATATATATATATTCCAGAGGCTGAGGCCGAAAGATCTTGAGTTCAAAGCCAACTTCAGCAACTTAGCAAGGCCCTAAGAAACTTAACAGGACCCTGTCTCAAAATAAAAAATAAAAAGGGCTGGGGATGTTGCTCAGTGGTTAAGCACCCTGGCATATATATAAATAGCATAAGGATCAGTAGAGTAGAGGAAAGGGAACAGGGAGAAGGAGGATGAGAGAGAAAGGGGAAGTACTTGGGACCGAATTAGAACAAATTATATTCCATACTTTTATAGGTTTGTCAAAATGAATCCTAACATCCTAACTAAAAAGAACCAATAAAAAGAAAAAAGGAAAAGGGAGTAAAAATGATCCCCAAAATTTGTTCCCCATAGTTTTGTATCAGGTTCAAATGTCATAACCCTTATTGTGTTATTTAATATCCCTGTGCTCAATGGTTTATTGAGATGAATTATGGCTCAGTTTGAAGGAATAGGCTTCTGAAGAGCATGGTTATCTGACGTTTCACTTTGACTAATGCCGTTCACCTCTTCTCTATGATCTTGCACTCTTTTGCCTTACCTGTCAGACTGCCTGCTTGAAAACGCTGCCTATTTTCAGAAGTTACTCCGGAGAAGGGAAAGAGGACATCTGCTCAAGGCACTCACTTTTATGCTGAATAACTCTGTGATAGAGACCTGGTTTCAAAACAGTTCTTTTTATCAAAGTAACATCTTTTCTCAGTCATTAGAGTGAAGATGATACTGTTATACAAAACTTTTGACCTTGTTTCAATGTTCTGATTCCAAAATCACTTGATTATGATGTTTATTTCCATCTAAGTTTTCATCTGACTTTTATCCTTTTTGGAAACTCTTGCAGTAACAGGTGGAAGCAAGGTGGATGAACTGGACTGTCCAGATAAACCTTGCTAATGCAGGGATTGTGGAAATGCTGTTTACGTGCCTTTTTCTGCTATAAAAAAAAAAGACAAGTGATGAAGGTAGTTATAACCATCACTATTTATGTAAAAGGGGAAAGAGAAAGTTTTGGAAAGTGGTGGTGCAGAATGGTATCTGCCAGTCTACCTCCACCATGGAGGGGAGGGCATTTATTTGGTAAGAGTTGTAGAGACAGGGGTCAACAAGGAAAGTAATTCAGAGGTCAATACCCTCTCAGTTCTTCCCCCTTCCATGCATTGTTATCAGGTCTTTGATTTGCAAATGTTTCTGGGAACACATTATGCTTCATTCAGTCTCCAGTATCTGAGCCTCAATGTCTCAGCTCTTTCTCCCTATCATATTTGAGCCTCATTTCCTTCCTTTGCACAGTGGGGATTGTACCTGATGTCTTGAATATTGTGAGAATCACATGCAATCATCTTTATGAAGGGCATGACACACAAGAGGTGCTCAATGAATTAGAATCCTGATTTCTGAATCCACATATTAGAAAAGAGTATTATGGTAATTGGTTTAACTCCTCCTGCCACTTCTGCAGCCCCACCCAACCTAAGCTCTTTAGACTTTGCCATAATATCATTTACATAATTCTTTCTCAAGTCCAACAAGCTTCCTCAGAGGTTACTAGGACATTTCCTTGGAAATCACACCACAAATCCTTTTGGAAATCGAGAGGAAGGCTTGACCTCAGACTTTTCCATCTTCTGAGCCACAGTCTGTTCTGGCCAGCTTGGACAACCCACATGGAGGCTGTCAGGGCTCAGTACCCAGCACCCAGCACCCAGCACCCAGCAGGACTTGCTGCCATCTGTAAACTGGGAACACATCATGCCTGTTACCTGGCAGTGCCAGACAGGTTTCTGCTCTGTTTTGATTCTGTAAAGTCACTTCTCTACTGTGTAGTGATAAATTTATTTTAATTCATGTGGAAACATCTCACAATTTGAGAGGGAAAGAAAAGTGCAATGTAACTATGTACTATTCTGAGATATGCTCAGAGAGACTGGTAGCCTTTGGTCCCAGTGGATACCTCAAATGCCTCGCTTTTCTGTTGGCATAAGTTTCACTCAGAAGGTGGCATCTCAGACCATAAAGTTCACTCACCAAGGTCAAATTCCATTTTTCTTGTCTAATACAAACTAAAGTGTCTAGTGCCCAGCTCATTGACATTCAGCCTCTTCTGGTTGATACTGGTAATAGATTAAATGACATGAAATCCTTAGAAAATGAAGGTCATTGTTATTTGCCACCCAGTGAAAAATGGAGGTCAGAGATACCTAGGAAAAGCTTTACCCAAAGTTATGTTTCTTAACCAGTAATGTAATGGTAACCAAGGGCAGTTTATTTGCCATTAAAAAGCAGTAAAGTGACACCTCTTCCCTGTATACCCTTGTCCCATCTGCCCCTATGATGACAGTCATTTTGCTTCTCTTTATTGTGTTGGGGAGACAGTGAGGAAGACCTAAATGGATGGTTTCATGGGTATTTTGCTGAGTATCGACAGTCAGGAAGAGGTCACAAGGTAGAGGATTCCAAAGGAAGGTCTCTCTACTTGGTGACAATCTCTGGATATAGGATGTCAATGAAAGAGAAGGTATACCTCCTGAGTTTAAAGTGGGACCTGAGCTGGGCACAGTGGTGCACACTTGTAATTCCAGTGATTTAGGAGGCTGAGGCGGGAAGAGCACAATTTTAAGGCCAGCCTAGGCAAGTTAGTGAGATCCTATCTCAAACTAAAAATATCAAAGGCCCAGGGATATAGCCCAGAGGTAGAGTGCCCCTAGGTTCAATCCCCAGTACTGTCACAAAAAAGTGGGACCTGGCTCTCGTATCTTTCCCAGGATTTCATGCCTAGGCCAATGTTGTCAATTAGTCCCATCAAGCATAGAGTCAAGATTGTGTACTTACAGCTCAGTACAGTGGCACACATCTGGAATCCCAGTGGCTTGGGAAGCTGAGGCAGGTGGATTGCATGTTCAAGGCCAGCCTCAGCAATTCAGGGACAGCCTGTCTAAAATAAAAAAAATAAATAAAAGGCTGGGGATATGGCTCAATGGTTAAGACCCTTGGGTTCAATCCCTAGCACCCAAATAAATAAATAAATAAAAATTTGTCTACTTGCTGGGACTGGTAATGTGCTGTCAACTCTCAGTGTGACATAGTCTAGGTCAAAGTCATATTTGCCTTAAAGTATTTTTCCATGCCTCTTATATACATGGATTATAGAAAGAGAATGTACCATAATGGATATTTTAAGGCAAGGTATTTGGAACTCTATATAGATTTTATACATAGAGGGAGGCAATTGTTTTTAGTAATATTTGATGAAATGACACAATATACATAAGGGCTGATGTGAAATGAATTTTTGTATTACATTTGTGACATGTGCTCACGTACAAAGTCCAGAGATTTCAGGATAGCACACTGAAAACTAACTACTGACAGTCATGTGCATAGAATTATACCCACTAGGACCATGTTGGAACATGGCCAGTTAGGCTTTTGTGTGGCAGTACTTGTTTTTTAATTTGGACTCTCATTGTGGATCTTTATCAAGCAAGCTTATACTTCCCCACTCAGAAATTTGAAAAAAAATTTAGATGGCATTTTTATATGTGCATGCAAGAGTCATATTTCCCTCCTGGGAACTGAAGGCCTGTCTCTCCAACCTTGAATGCTTGCTCCAGACTTCCTAAGGTCTAATCTGTGAGTTTGGAGAATAAGGGCCTGACATGGGTGGGAGACTGAGGAACACCAGTGGAGTTTGTTTCTTGCTTTGTGGTTCACTGTTTTATGCATCCTATAGTGTTTCTGGGACAGCAGCAGTCATTTTGAGTCTCATACGAATGATGGTGATGGTGATGGTGGTGATGCTAAAGGAAATGAGGCATAGCTCCCGCTGATGAAAAGCCTGTGCTGAACACTGTGTGCAGGCATTTCCATTGGTTCCTCACCTAGCTATATAAAGCCCCTGTGTATTATGTATTGATATTACCTTCATTTTACAGGGGGCAATAAAGCATTATTGAATAAATATTTACCTTGCCATAGTAACAGAGCAAAAATATTATAGAGGTGGCAGGGACTCAGTCCAAGTTTATCTGACCCCAAATTTTGTGATATTTAATCACTAAGGTGCAAGAAGCATTTTCAGTAATGTTTTGTTGCCAGGAAAAGCAGTTGTTATCTGATCTTCTACCTGCTCTACATTTTCCAGTCGATATGGTAATCCAGCAGTCACTCTGGGTGTTCTTTTTTTTCTACAATCCTAAGGTAGCATTTATTATTTCTTAATACAGATAATTACTTCCCTTTAGTATTTGATGTTCTGCCATAATAAGCAGGTTTATAATTGAGGTAGAAGCCTTACTGGAGCAAGGCTTTGGGTTGACTGTTCTCTGGGTGTTTTGCTGATGAAAAAATATAGAACACAGTCTGAACTCAATGGATTTCAGGACTGACTTCTCAGCTACTCTGTTCTTTTAATGAGAAGAACTGCAGAGGATAGAGGCTCAGAGCAAGGGAGGACTGTTCTGATCAGGAAAGATGGAATAGCACATAAACCTGGCCCCTCACTCAGGAGCTCCCAGCCTCAAGATGGGACGAGGGCCAGGAGCAGCAGCACTGTGCAGAGCTGCTCTTGTAGGCTGAGGACACTGGATTCTGGTGGGAAACTTGTGACAGACATTATGTGTTCCAGAAATTGAGGCCTATTATGCTCCTGTACTCAGCTTTGTGCTTGCTTCTTCTGACCACCCTCTGTGTATCAGTGGGAGGAAATAAAACCCATGGGTTCTGTCCATGATGTAAGATGGGTGAAGTTTAGAGCCTGGTTATGCAGAAACCTCTGGGTCAGGTCTCCAAGCTGGTGGCCTAACCCCCTCCTATTCCCAGTTTTACAGGCCACAGACCACAGACTGACAGTGTCACTTCCTCTGTGTGTCCTGGAAGCCTTGGTGGCTTGGTGGTCCACCCAGGGGTCCTGGGGTCCTCCCAAGGGCTGACTGCATTGCCTGGGAGACCTTGCTGCACTCTCAAGGAGAGGGTGTGGCCAACACCAGGGGGAGAGATGTGGGCATCCCATATAGTGCTACAGCCACTGTGACTGTGACAGGATAAGGTGCAGCTGCAGTTTGTGGTGGGGGACACAATGGTCTCCCAGTGTCAAGTCCCCTAAGGGTTCAAGTAAGAAAGTGAGTGTGCTCCATAGCATGAGGAAGATACAGACATTTCTAGCCTAAGGGACTTTGGTGTGAAAGTGTGATGGATCTTAGGGGTTCAAGGAAATCCACCCTTCCTGTTCCCTCATCTGTGGGGCAGCCTGGCTCAGTGCACATTGCTGAGTGTGAGCAATATGAGAGGTCATGGTCCTCGGCAAATTGAAACATTTAGGATGGTGGTGGTGGTGGGGGGTTCTTATGTCCCATTTACCCCAAGGATGCTGGGTTTGTGTGTTGGTGAAGGCTGTGCTGGGTCAGCCTTAGGCTGTGAAGATGGCCATGGAGGTAGGTGGCTCTGCACCCTCTATTGATGTTGGGCAGGTGAGTCAGGTGAGGGAGTTGTGAGAAGGAGCTGCTCTTGCTTTTGCTGAGTGGTTGGAACCTGGATGTGCTGTGTCCCTCATCTGATTCATATTCCAGATCTTTCTTCTGTGGCTTCCTGGGCTTCCTGGGTGCTGCCTGTGACATGCATTTCCCTGTGTCTGTCACAGGAGAGCCTGGCTCAGGTTCTGGTTTTAACTGTTGTCCCCTCTTCCTCTTTCCCCAGTTCTCATACAGTCCAAATGTTTTTGCTATCAGCTCCTTGTTCATTCCTCTCATCCAGGTACTAAACAGGCATAACTCTGTTTAGCTTTCAAGGTCATAGGAGATCAGTCATGTCCAGAATGGTATGGCCATCTTTGTACATTCCCGATTGTAAAATTACCACAAGGCTTTGTTTTGCATCTTTTGCAAATAGAGAAAGAACTTACACATTTTCTAAAGGAAATGCTCTAAGAGAAAGCTAGGGATAGGCCTCTTGTCTCTTTCAACACAGATAGTTATTTTTTTTCCTTATTTTACTTTGCATTCGCCTTTACAATGTGCTAGTTTGAGACATAAGATTTTCCTTTCTTCCCTAACTGATGACTCCTGAACCTTGGCCAAAGTCATTTATGTACAGTTAGCTGTACATAGAAGGACCTCCAGGACAAGTAACAAGTAAGACATATTGCTCCTCCTCTAACCTGCTTATGCTTATACTCTTTTTTTTTTAAAAAAAGTTTTAGTTATAGATGGACACAATACCTTTATTTTACTTTATTTATTTATATGTGGTGCTGAGGATCGAACCTAGTGCCTCACACACTCTAGGCAAGTGGTCTATCACTAAGCCATAACCCCAGCCTGTGCTTTTACTCTTACTCATGTCCCCATGAAGAGTTTTTTATGATCAATTAGATTGAGGTACAAGCATTAGACTCAGTGACAGATGGTTTATGTTGATACATTGGTGTTAATGCTTTTGAAGTGTGGGCTTTACTGTTTCTCTAAGATCCTGAGTCCTTGAGTGTTCTGGATGAGCTGCAGTTTGATCTCCCCCAGGTTATAAAGATTTGAACTTTGATATTTTTTACTATTGTTTATTTATTTTTTGCAGTGCTGATGATGGAACCCAGGGCCCTTTCACATACCTGGCAAGCACTTTATCATAAGTTACATCCCCAATTCTGATCTTTGACTTTTTAAAAAATATTTTAGTTATTTTTTTATTTATATGCAGTGCTGAGAATCAAACCCAGTGCCTCAGACATGTGAGGCAAGTGCTGTACCACTGAGCCACAACTCCAGCCCTGACTTTTTTCACCAGGGCTTAAACCCAGGGGCACTTAACACTGAACCACATCCCCAACCCTTTTTATTTTATTATTTTACTTTGAGACAGGGTCTTGCTAAGTTGTTTGGGGCCTCACTACATTGCTGAGGCTGGCTTTGAACTCATGATCTTCATGCCTCAACCTCCTGAGCCACCGGGATTATAGGCCTGTGCCACCATGCCTGGCTATGTTAAGGAACTTAGATGTGTAGGCCTCTTAGAGTTCCATTGAGTTCTTCTGTATAATGTTTAGTATCTCCTAAATCCCTTTGGGTTTTGATATTCTCCTCAGCCCATTGTATTCACTCCAAAACCACAGTCTATAGATTACTCACTGCTGTAGCTCTTGTCAATTTACACTTTAGATTTGGATTTGCCTTCTGAACATTCCTTGTGTCTTGTTATTCATATGCTGACCTGTGCTGCTTTTGATCTTCCTGAGAAAGAAATAGCAGTGTCTGTGTTTCTCAGTGTCCCCATCTATCCAATGTTGAGGGCTTCACAGAATGCTGGAAAGGCCTATTGTAGAATCCAGTCTACTGTGAGCTTAGAAACTATAGCTGTTTTTTTTAGGGTGCTAACCCACAGGGTGTGCAGTGTCGTTTTAGGTAAGAACAGACACCTGTGTTTTTCTCTAGAGTACAGAAGAAATGGTTGTGGGAACTGGAGGTCATAGTCAAGCACTGAACCTCCTGTGCTTTCAAATGAGTCCTCCCTGCTCAAATGTTTTTAGATTTTGGAGTTCAAGGGGAAAGATACTATTAAGGACACTGAGCAAATGTATATTATGGCTTCTATAATATTTTTTTGATTCTGCAGTTGGTGTTTGATGTTTTGTATTTGTGGTGTTTTCATTTAACATTTTGTCCATGGGTTTCTGAATCTCAAATAATCATATCAGTTCTGCAGAAACTATGAACTCCAGGTGTAAGATCTCAACTCAATTAGTGGCCACAAGACATTAATTATTTTATTGTATTTTATTTTAGTACCGGACCACTGAGCTCCATCTCTAGCCCTATTTTGTATTTTATTTAGAGACAGGGTCTCATTGAGTTACTTAGGGCCTCACAGTTGCTGAGGCTGGCTTTGAACTCACAATTCTCCTGTCTCAGCCTCCCAAACTGCTGGGATTACAGGCGTGCACCACCG